ATATATAAATAGATATATAACTAATAATAAAACAACAAACAAAAAAAATTAAAAAATTACAGCTATTTAGCCCTAAGTTATATAGTTTCTCTCTATAGGCGAGACGCAAAACCAAAGTCCCTAAGTACCCAAAGCGATCTGTTTCCTAAACGACAAGCAGCACGCAAACTCGAGAATGTGGCCTTCAGCTTGGCAAACTTTGTCTCGATCACCGACAGCAGCACGCTGTCTGGCAACATCCTGCTCGTGCAAAGGCAATTGGGGTTTATGGTTCAGTTTGCAAAACTTGAAGGCGCTTGGGAAGTTGACGACTTCGACGATGATGCACTGCTACGACGAAGAGTGATTACGACGTCAGCAGCGGCTATAAACAAACACGGCTGGCGAAATCTGCCTTAACGACTGTAGCACCAGTGCTACGTTGCTGCGTTTCTTTGCTGTTCCCACTGCCAGTGTCCCTGTACAGATTCTGCAGCTGTTCCCGCAAAGGACAGGGCAGCGTCAGTGTCTTTCCGTAGTCAGCTGCAATTCCTTCTCTGCAGTTCTTGGCCATGATAGCGTCGTGAGGTGGGTAACTCATGTCCCGACACTTTCATGGCCAAGAACTGAGGCTTAGTCTAAGGATTCTTCAGCTGGCCACTATCCCCGCCCGAGCCGGCACCACCCCAAGGCACCCCCGATCCAGCGTCAAGAATCGCAGCAAAAGCGGTGCCGCAGGACTGGATCTGACGCACGTTCTTCAGCTGATCCTGCACATGACTACTGTCACCACCGTGCGAACTCGCACCCGATGTCACGGCGGATCCATCCCCAAGAGTGGCAGCAAAAGCACTGGATGTGCTGCACATTGTTCAATTGCTCCTGCACCACACTGCTGTCATCACCAAGACCAGAACCGCCACACGTCGTGAAAGATCCATCATGCAGACTGGCAGCAACGCACCGCCAGAGGCTTGAATGTGACGCACATTCTTCAGCTGGTACGTCACTGCTGTTGCCACCCCTGTCAGCATCCCCCAGCTAACCAGATTGATCGGAAACAATGGCAGCAAAAGATACCTCTCTGGCCTGAACCTACAGCACATTCTTTAGCTGATCTTGCACAGCACTGCTGTCACCACCCCAGCCAGCAACGACTGATCCGTCGCCCAGAATGGCAGCAAAAGCCTGATCAGTGACCTGCATCGCATGCACCGCAGCGTGCATCACCCCAGGCTTCTTACTCCAGGTTACAACCGATCCATCACCAAGAATGGCAGCAGGGTGGTTTGGATGTGCTGCACAGGTCTTCAGCTGCTCCTGCACAGCACTGCTGTCACCACCCCCAATAATCGCAGAAAGCCGGCTTCGTGGACGCCAGCACGCACCTGTACTCAGACGGGTGCCAGCTCGAGGAATCACCATTCTGCGAGCCGGTAGTCTTGATCATTGCAGATGCATCCAGAACGCATCCCGATGAGTCCAGCAGGTGCCCTTTTCCCACTCCAAGCGCAGTTTGTGCCTGAAGTTTCGCTGTCTCCACCTTTTCGTCCAAACCTGCTGTCATTTTCGCTGTCATGCCACTAAGCAGTCCAACTTCCACCGAAATCGAGATGTTGGACGCCGGATACAGCCCCCAGCTCAAAGTAAATGAAGGCTACTGCTCGATTCTCAGCTCCTGCGTGGGTCGAAGCTCCTTTGACATCAATCTTGGTTTCGATGTCTTCTCTTACGACTGTTGTCTCTGAGGTTGCGGAGGGGTCAGGTTTGTTTGGACTTATCGGCAAGCCCGAAACCCCAAACCGTTCTTGAAGTTCATGGAATAGCAAGTACAGTTATCAGTACCTTAAACTTCACTGGGGTTATGACTAATTTTGGGCATAGTTGCATTAGTTCCCACCCTAGTTGCTACGTCCCATGAACCTTCAAGCACAGCCTAAACTGGCCTAAAGCCTAAACCGCCAAGATGTACAAGTATACGGTCAACTAAAAAGATCCAAGACCACCGGAAGGATCTACAACACGGAGTCTCCCTGCAGAAGCTGCCCGTTTCTTCCTGCTACTTCGAGTCTCTGTTGTGGCAGGGTTTAGGGTTTAGGGTTTAGGGTTTAGGGTTTAGGGTTTAGGGGTTTAGGGTTTAGGGTTTAGGGTTTAGGGTTTAGGGTTTAGGGTGCGTTTGTTTCAGGATTTTGGGTTTTGGGGAGGTGTCCGAGGGCTCCGGGTTTGAGAGGATTCGGGGCTTCTTTGGTGTACAGTATCCTGAGCAACTACGGGTTAGGCCTCTGGGGGTTTATATTAAGGGTTATAGTGTGGGGTTTATACTAAGGGTTATAGTGCCCCAAACAAGTTCAAGGTTACCTACTCTGCTACTGAGGCTCCAAAGGTGTTGCAGGGTGTGATAGGATTATATTGTATAAGCCTAGGATTCCTCATCGCGCCCGTGTTGAAATTAAAGCTATTGTCTCCCTGAGCGGTTGGATGTTGGCAGGGTATTGGCTTCACCGGAGAATCGGAGTTCTTATTGTAAGAGGTTTAGGGTTTAGGGTATAGGGTTTAGGGTTTAGGGTTTTGAGAAGAATCACCCGCCTGTGGTGGTCAAGGCCCTCAATCATCTGGTAGAAGGAGAAGTCCTTGCAAATCCGACTGAGAAGCCCTAAGCCCTAAAACCCTAAGCCCTAAACATCCTAAACCCTAGACCCTAAAC